TCTATTTATTTCAAAACCCCCTTCCCCTCCCCCTTTTCTGATGAAGGGTCGAGGCCCGAAACGTCAGCCTCTCTGCTCCTATGATGCTGCTTGGCCTGCTGTGTTCATCCAGCCCTGCACCTTGTTGTCTTAAATTAATGTAATACCTTTTTTTTTGACATTTTTCTTACTCTCTAGTTAAGATGATTTATGTCAGTTTTGTGATGTGGAAATTTGATTCTCTATCTAAGTGTTCAGGCAGTAAGTACTTGCAAGGTGTGTGCAATGACAAGTCCCTGCACAATAGTTATTCTGTAAACAGGAAAGGGGAGCCTCCTAGTCGATGGCATATCATGGATACAAAATTAGCTTGGAGGTAGAAGACAGAGGGCGGTGGTAGAGGGTTTTTTTTTCAAACTAGAGGCCTATGACCAGCAGAGTGCCACAGGGTTTGGTGCTGAGCCTACTATTATTCGTCATTTAACCAAATGATTTGGATGAGAATCTAGGAAGTATGGTTAGTAAGTTTGAGGATGACACCAAGGTTGGTGGTATAGTGGACAGTGAACAAGGTTATCTGGGAATACAATGAAATCCAGATCAACTGGACCATGGGCTGAGAAAGGTACATGGAGTTTAATTTAAGTAAATGAGAGGTGTTGCATTTTGGTGGGCCAAATCAGGGCAGGACTTACACCGTCAATTTAGGACCCTAGGGAATGTTCCCAAAAATGAGATATAGAGGTACAGGTTCATAACTCCTTGAAAGTGGAGTCACAGATAGACAGGTGGTGAAGAAGCTTTTGGCATGCTTGCTTTCATTGGTCAGAACATTGAATATAGGATTTGGGACATCTAATTGCAGCTGTACAAGATGATGTTGAGGCCACATTTGGAGTACTGCATGCAGTTCCCGTCTCCCTACTATAGAAAAGATAATATTAAACTAGAAAGAGTGCAGAAAAGATTTACTAGGATGCTACCTGGACTGAAGGGTTATAAGGAGAATCTGGATAGGCTGGAACATTTTTGCTGGAGCGTAGGAATTGAGGGGTGACCTTATAGAGATCTATAAAATCATGAGAGGCATAAATAAGGCAGCTAGCCAACAGCTTTACCCCATGGTAGGGGAGTCTAAAACTAGGGGACATAGGTTTAAGGTGAGAAGGGAGAGATACAAAAGGGTCCAGAGGAGCAATGTTTTCACACAGAGGGTGGTGACTGTCTGGAATGGGCTGCCAGAGGCAGTGGTGAAAACGAGTACAATTTCGAGTATCTATTTGGATAGGTGCATGAATGGGATAGGTATGGGGGGATATGGACCATGTGCATTCAAATGGGACTAGTTTAATTGTGAAAACTGGGTGGCATGGACGAGCTGGGCCAATGGGCCTGTTTCCGTGCTGTAGACCTCAAAAAGAGAAAAGAATTTGACTTTCACCTGAAAATTAAATGTTTCAATAGAATTGCACAGTTAACAAGCACTAATTGAAAGTGATAATAGTAAATAATAGAATAAAAATCTTGATGATTTTATTGCATCAAGAACATTGTAAAAGTAGCATTTTCAAAATGATTAAGAAACCTAGCAAGATCCGAGTATAGGTCATTAAGCCTCATTGCCTATTTGTTAAGTGTTGTATATGTTATGATATCAATCACTGTTAGCTTGGGGTTGGGGTAGTTTGCTGCCAATATTCCCTTTCCTTGACTGGGTTTAAGAACTTATTTGGTTTACAATGGTAGAAAAAATCACTCTTAATGAGAAGAGGCTCTTGACTTAAATAAAATGCCAATGGATTGCATGAAAGCCATCA